ACGTTTCGCAGTTTGAAGACGGAAGAGAATACAGCAGCAATAAAAGTTTTCTTTACATTTCCTATATAACACAAGACGATTCTTAACGACGTGTACATTAAATAGAGAAATGGAGTAATTTGAACAAAAATAGTGATTCCACTTCCTTACATTTTTCTCCTAATTGAAAAAATTATATTACGCACTTGTTTTAATTTTCTGCACATATCGCGGAAATTTTCGATTATCTGCCCGCATAATTGTGTTGCAGGAACGGTCTGCGTATTTACGGATACAATTACGTAAAAGTTAGTTAGATTTATTAAAATGGGTTAAGTTAAGTGCGCGTAACTCGCATTGAATTTTTTTACGGAAACGGTAAATCGCCATCGTGTTTAGTATAAGGGGACAATCCCGGCAAGATGAAGCCAGACAGATAAGACGAAGACCTTTGCACGCGAGAAATAAATGGTTACACGCTTTAACGCTTATAAGCACGTTTTCAAGTGCATCTTAGACGAGCAGGTGATTATCCTCTTGGAGCATGAGAAAGGCACTGCGAGATGCCCGATATCTCCGAACGTCCCTTTCTACCTTCTCTTCCTCTATACTTAATTTATGCCAACTTCAACAACCACGTCCGCTGCTCTTAAACAGACTGAAATACTTCAATTAAAAGTCACGTAATTTATTAAGTGATATATTCAACAAATAAAAATTACAGTTTCTGACCAACTCTTTGAGCATAAATTGGATGATATGTATTAAAATAGGTAACCAATTTTAAGAGATGCAATATTGGTTCTCTATTTAATTCCCTAATAATTAATATAAATGTTAATATATTTAATCCTGATTTTTTGCGAAGATGAGGAATAAAGTTGACATTTTTTTCAAATTTAAATCAGCAAGCTGCAACTTTGCATAATTGCTGAAATTTATTGCTTCATTATTCTAATAAAAAACATAAATAATGATGATCTCAAAATCAGAAAGTTTGAATAACTTCTCGTTATTTTTAGAAGAAAGTTTTCAATAAGCAATCTTGATGTTTTCGATCGCGGCAAGAATTACGCGTAATTTAACTTTTATCTCGTCAAAGTGTTCGACGATATACTCGTGCTATCAAATAAAATTGCGAATTTAATGTCTCGCCGATCGTTACGATGAGCGATAAATGTTCGACGCGCGTAACGAATGCTTCGTTAAGCAAAGCATCGTTAATTATTGCGCCCTCGATTATTCCGAATCCGTTTACGCGCGTTTAAAAAAAAAAGGGATCTTCGACGCGCAATTTAAAACGTGCGTAAATCGCGCGTTTAAATCACCACGCTTAATTACGCGCGTAACTTTGTCGCCCTTTTCGTCGCATTTTGTGTTACGCAGACACCTTGCTTCATCCAGATTTACAGTTTGCTTGGCGGGTGGCGAAAGTAATTCGGGAGAGAAAATTTCGACAATATTCATCTTTCACACGTGAGATAAGCAACGCGTTGCAATAAAGTGACATTTAATTGCAATAATCTATATAGCATATAAATATATATATATATATATATATATATATATATATATATATATATAATATATTAATATAATATATATATATATTATATATATATTTATATATATAGCAAAACTAAGAAATATAAACTATAAAATAAATTATATTATAGTGTAAAAGAGAGCGGCATATTTTTTTTCATTTATCGGAAAACTGCAGCGTAAATTGTCTTTTTGCGACTTTGAGCTGTATTATTTTAAATCGAAATTTTAATACAAAAAATGTTCAAGTAAAAGCAACGACTCCGCGACACTTTAATCTCGCTAAAACCGGAAGATTGTATAGGAAAACTGTCTCAGATGGGCGTGTGTTCACGCTACCGAGTCCTCCTCTTTCTCTCTCTCCAAGCAGCAGAACAATTTGCAGTCGCACGTGCATTATTACGTGCACACGCGCTTAATGCACGCAAATCACCGGCTGCGGCGCTTTAATAAGCGTCGTAGCGCAGATAGAATGTTCAGATACACACGCGAAACTATCGGCCGCCGAAGACTTCTGGTGCCGCAGCTTCGCGAAAGGTTAAAACGGGAGGAGAAAGAAGGAAGAGAGAAGAGATGAATATGAAAAAAATAAAACGCTCGCGGAATCGTTCCTCTTCGCCGCATAATCTTATGCCGTTTGACGCGCGATTACGCCATTCCGAGAGCTGTGTTTAATATCCCGGAGGACGTGGATCGATCTCGCGTACCACGTGAATTTTCTTCGAGCATATACACACATACATACATGCATGCATACGCCTACAGGTCCGCTTCATCGTTACGCAAGCCCTCGATTAGTAGCCGTAAAATTATCGAGCTACAAAGCGAGGCGTGCTAATCCCATTACTTTCGAAAATCAGATACCGCTACGTCATCTTGTTCCTTCTTTTTTTGCTTTTACACCAAGCGAATTTTCGAACTCGAACGTTCAATTCTTCACTTTATTATGTTTGTTGTTTATTTTTCACTAAATATCTGTTGTATAATTATCAGTGCTTGCTGTCATCTAAATAAAATTATATAGATGATCATCTAGAATCTAAATGAAATTTTGAGAGGCATCTTATCTTTATATATAGATAATAAAAATATATATTATCTATATATGTGTGTGCATCTTAGATGAGAGAAAAAAGTGTTCAGATAACTTGGTTTAGAGTAATAGCATATAAAAATATTTTAGTAATAGAACTTAAGCAATAAGTGATAAAAAAATTATAAATAAAAGTATGAATATATTTTTATATCCTTTTTATAATTTACATTTTTTTTATAACTGTGTTTACATAAGCGATTTTAAAAATAATATTATCTGGAAGTTATCTAGATGTATTGCTATATAATTTTATCTATAGATATATTTAAATTCAAAATCATCTTCATCTTACCTAAGATGAATTTACACATTTTCATCTCTTGATCTATTGTAGATAATTTTTAAATCATTTAAGCATAACACTGTGATAATTATTATCGAAGACTGTTGTTGCTTTAAAGCTGATCCGCGTTCTGTGTGTTTAAATCTGCAAATCCTTAACTTAACCGGGACAAATATCTTTCTATCTTTAACACCTTTTTTCTATGAGTACTTCAAACTTTGGAATGTTTGAAAGAAATTAATACATTATACGCAGAATTTCGCTGCAAAAAAGGTACTGTCAAGTGCCCATCTCAATACAAAACCGCGAAGAACTTAACATACTTGTATCGAAAAAGAGCATATATACTTTTATCTATAATAAAAAGTTATTGCATTCACGGCTTGAATTTTACGACACGTCCCCCGAGAACATTATTTGCAAAACTTTATTCTTGCGATCGCCTCGAGGAAAAATTGTTATCTTGAACGCGGTGAAAGTTCGCTATTTCTCGCGTAAGAGCTGTCCCGGAGCCATCCGCGGATAATCGTATGTAAATATCCGACATGAAGTGAACACGAAAGTACGTAGTATGAGTGATTATCGCCCATGCGGCGAGTGTATTAAATACCCAAGTTGATCGAACTTCACACTGAATTTATGTTTCGTTTCTAAAAGGCATGCGGTGAGCAGCCTTAAAATGTCGCTTGCGGCAGTAAGACATGCAGGATATATGTACATAGTTGTACCGAGAGCAATCTCGCAAACGTATTTCAATGAAGTCCGTACATATAAACGCGCGCGGTAGCTAGAAATGAAGATGAGATGCTTCATTACGACGTTTCTGGCAAACAATTCCATCCGTAAAAATAAAACGTGTAGGCCTGGACTACAATAAGTCATACGTCGCAATCGGATGTCAGAAAACGTAAGCGATGGTCCAATGAAGAAATTTTGTTTTCCCTAAAAGACTGCAACATACGACTTGTTGTAGACCAGGCCGTAACGTATTATTCCGACTATTGTAAAATATTCTAATAATGCTTGATTCTTATATGTCTTGTATTGAAACGCTAAAGGAATCTGCTAGCAAGAAGTTCGGTACACATGAGAATTCCTGTGTTACAAAATTGTATTAAAATTCTAAACTAGGGTTAAATATCGAAGTCACATTCATTCGAGGCGCACCTCATATCTGCTATTTTGTTCCGCAATTTACTTGTCTTATCAAATACAGCGCGAACACAGGCGTAATAACATAGTAGCGATAACGTCTCGTGATATAATTTGTAGCGCTGTTATCTCTTTTGTATGTATTAAACAGATGGAGCGTAAGCAATAAAATGTGTAATTAAAGAATGTGCGAAGAGAAACGCGGTACATGTATCGTATATTAACATACATAAATAATTAATTCTAAGTTGCGCAATAAAATTGATGTATTACTACATATAATACATATAATTTATGTATAATGTAATAATATATAGATTATGATGTGTGTGTGAAGCTAGCATATTATTTAATGGAAGATCATAAATAATTGCAAGTTCTTGTTTTATTCAATAGTTCTTCAATGGTAGAATTTTTGATAGTTTAATAATAAACAAATTGTTTTAGCGATTATATTAACTTCACGCAACATATTACTTTGTTCTACGGCATTTTTCTTATCGGTAATTATCAGGATTTAAAAATGTATATAACTCTGCATGAATTATAAAAAGAGTTCTGCCTTTTAAAAACAAAAAATTAATTAAATTAAAATAAAGACAACCGAATACTTATATCTATAGATATTGAGATAAGCTACCTCAGTCAATTTTCGAAAATTATATTTTATCTAAAGCCATATCTTTTTGAACGAATATCCTTCGAGTTTTAATCAATTATTAATATTATTAAATATTATTTAGTATCATATTTAATATAAATATAATTTAATATCAATATTAATTAATTATTAATATTAATATTAAATAATATTTATATTAAATTATTAATAATTTATCAATATTAATATTATATTAATATTAAGTCACGTTTAAAATATCGCGCGCGTTATTATAGACTGAAGTTGCCGATGTAGAATAGCGAATAACTTCAGTCTTTACCGAACGCCGCGAGCCGCGATTACCAGAGGTGGTTTGAGCTGCGTCCCGTTGTGATTAATTAGTAAGCATAATCATTTCTAAACTTTGTATTGTAATATTTGTCAATTGCATATCATCATTTCAACGTTCATATGTAGTCGTAATTGCTCGAAATGCATGTTACGAAAAATCGATGCAAAATCTCTTGCGAACGATCAACATAACCCAATTATTTTCGCGCGCGCGAGTGTGTCGCGATCCGTGGATTCATCTATCATTAATTCTAATTTATATTGTGTATGTTATAATGCGAAATAATAAGATTATTTTAATATATGTATTTTATTTGTTACAGGTAGGAGTGCGATACGCAGTGCGATTCAAGCATCGTGTCGTGTAAAGTTCCGAGTGCCGGGAGTGCCGTGTAAAGTTTCGGGCGATCGTAATTATATTTGTTTTCGCGAGTGCCGTGAGTGCTACGATGGACCAAGAGAGGAGAAGGAGATCCAGAGAGGCATCGGGCGACAGCGGGGCAACTGTGAGGTATGCAAAATATAAAAATATTTTTTTTCTTCTAAACTGCATAGTTTATGAAATATTCGATCGTTTTCTTTTAAAGCACAATGTATATATATACATAATTTGAATATTTTGTTTCCAGATCAAAATATGCTGTGTGCTACAACTCCGCTATCGCATACTCCGTATCGGTGAGTGAGAAATTTATTTTATAACATTTCTATAGCGGTAATAGAGGAGTGTGTTAAGCATTTCAGAGTTACAGTAATAATTATTTTAATCCATTATTTCAATTTGCAATTGTTATTACTTTTAAAATATACGAAAATAGATACTATTGTTTTTTTTTTTTTGCTGAAATTTTTTATATTTAAAAAATAGTTTTTTCAAAGTTTTTTAAAATAAAATAATAAATTGAAGAAGGTATAAAGTTTTATGTAAAATACAGACTATATAAAAACAAAATAAGATGTAATTTATTAAAGCAATTTTACGTGTTTTAGATTTTTAATAGAAATAATTACTAAAATATTCTCAAAAAGCTGCATTTTAAGAAAGTAAAATGTTACACACAAATATTAATTGAATATTAAGAGTTTAAATAATAGTACTCACCTCTCTTCCCTTCCTCCTTTTAAATGCACCTGAATATTTCTTACTTAGCAAGATTTCACAATATTTGCAAATAATGCGAAAGAGCGATATCTACGCGGAAATTTAGATTCTTAATGAACGATGCAGTTGGCTCATTTGTTCCACGCTGCATCACACGCATTGCACCGGTTATATATGCACACAAATATATATGTACATAATAATGTGTACCGCTTAAAGCGTATATATACTCTTTCACTAAAGATCCGTGTAAACCCGTTTAATACGCTCTTTATGACGAAGTGGTTATACTAAAGCAATGCTCGCGATGTTTGCATTTGCCACGCGGGCCTAAAGAGATGTGGCCGCTTCACTCCATCCATTATCCTTAACTGAAGGTAATTACAGAGGTAGGGCAAAAAAAAAAGGACGTATCCACGCGGCGGATCAACAACGCAAGCAGGTTCGCGCGAGGAGATTAGGCTTTTTGCGTTCTCCCTATTACCCCGATCTCTTCTTTATTTATATTTCCTCGACACTTTGTTTTATATTATACTCCGGGAGGGAATCCCGATTAAAGGAATACCTGGCGGCCCGCGGACCGTAAACGCACTTCGAAAAAAATAAATAAATAAATAAATAAATAAATAAATTATAGAGCTAAATTATCTCGTATACACTATATTAGAATGTCGGAAACGCTACCATCGCGCGGGTCGCAGAGTTAATGCACTCGTTATTAACATACATCTCCTCGATAGGACACCGCGGAAAATGGCGGGATTATTTTGCCGGGAAATATCTTGCGTTCCGCATTTAGTCTCGTTAAAGCCGCGAAAGGTTTTTCTCGTAAAGAAAGAGAAAGAGAGATATATTGCTAATTAATATTATGATTGATTGATCTGACAAGAGAAGTCTGCGAGTAATCAAATGATAAAATATGACGCACTGAAAAATCTTAATTTTATGAAAAGATCGATTTAAGACTCCCGCACAATTTTAGAGCGGATGTAAATAAAGTAATGAGAAATTTTTATTATCTTGGCACACAATTTATAAACAGATTAAAAACTGTATTACATTTTCTCAAATGGGAGTATACTGCTATACCGCATTCCGGTTTAAATATCTAATTGAGCGTTTAGTCAAGTATATGAGAATCTGATGTTACTTCTGGTTTTGTATCTCGTATTTAATACTTCAATTTTTTATAATAAAATTTTTCGATGAATATATACTTTTAATAATCGCGATTAATTTTGTCGGTGGGCAAAAAATCAAGTGGCCATTTAATCTCGATAAGAAACAGAGCGCTCCTTTTCGCAGGATGTAGCTCTGGGCGATGGGAAGAAAGTTTCGCAAGAGTAGTTTAATTCTGTAGTCCGTTAGACGATAAAACGCAGAGTGAAGGTCTATGACGAACTTGTGTATACAAACATGTGTGTAGAAACAAATGGCGCTATATAGAGTCACTAATTAGTGCGATTGCTCGCGGCAATTATGAATATCTAATCATAAAAAAAAAATAAGAACAATAGAAAAAAAGAAGCATTCTCTTTCTTTCTCTTTTTTGTTACCATTACAATTAACAAACAATAGAAACTCTACATGCATTAATCGTCTTTAATTCGCGAATTAATATATATATCTAATTAAAAAGATTCTGTTTTGTCTTACATAATTCTACGTTTCTCTTTGGTATATATGTGATTAACTTTTAACATTAATTATGATTGACACGTGTGATTGATGTTATCGGTGAAAAAATAAATTAGCCACTCAAGTTCGCGAAACGAAACCTGACCCTTTTCGTAGCTTCGAGCTACATCGTCGAAAGTTTCGTAAGTAATGATTTATTTCTGTACTCGGAGGCAGAAACGAGAAACGGATCGTGCGATGCACCGCGACACGAAATTGATTGAATAACGAGTTCAGAAGCGGTCGTCCTTCAATTGCATGCGCGAGCTTTTGGTTGCATGCTTCGTTTGTCACAGAGAGGAGAAAAGAAATATTATCGTAATATTATATTTTACGATGCTTTTACCACAATATTTTATTATTTTTATATTATTTGAGATATCTCGCGAAATTATACCCATAACTTGGAGTTAATGATATATATTAAAGGTGTATGAAACAATTGATCTCGATATATAAAATCCGTTTCAAGTAATCGCGTTACATCGCGAAACAACCGATTTCTAATTAGCGCATGAAATCGATTCGAGTAATCGTTATACGTCGAAACAAACCGATTTCTAATTAGCACGTGAAATAGGTTTAAGTAATTGTTACACGTTGGAACAACCGATTGCAAAATCGATAGCATTATTTTCGATTTACAATATGTTGTGAAAAATTAATATTAAAATCAATGCATATTAATTACACTAGAACAACCTGCGTTCTGAAGTCAATATGGATAGTTTTATTTAATAAAATATAGCAACTCAAAATTTAAATTATACTAAAAAAGATATCATATATCAAGATTAATTTTATAATTGATATATGTATTAAAAAAGATATATATTATCTTTATTTTTTCGTAAAAAAATGTTGTATTTCTTGACATATATTTTAATGGCTGCTGTTGAAATAATCTTAACAATATATGTACGTAATTTTATTCAAGCTTAAAAGATGCGCAAATATCGTAATTATTATTTTATCAATTTTTTATAATTATCTCTTTCGCAAAAAAACCATTTTCGGGAAACTAATTTTTGACTAATTTTCATGAAGAATCTTGAATCATCAAATCGGAGATGTGTTTATTCGTCGTAAACTCGTGAACAGTTATAGTCAAATAACACTTGTTTCACACTCATACTTTGTTGACATCTTTCCATTTGATTTGCATATTTGCTCATCTGACTCTCATTTCTTTCCATTAAATTTAGAGAAGACTTCAGCGCAAATATTTATCGTCTAATTTTAGAAATGACTCGAGTAGAGGGATAAAATGAACGTAGGTCATCATATTCCGTGCAATTTGGTTCTCCGCTTCTCATCTCGCCGATTGATTAATGACCGAGATGCGAGTCAGGTTGCTCTTTAGCCGTACGGACGCGCCCTGTTTCGCCGGAAATTTATTTGTTTCACACTCGAGCGGCGGGTGTGTCGACTTGCGGAATGACACATAAATCAAGCCTTCGCGCCGTCCTCTTCTTTTCCTCTCCTTTTGAATTCGCGGCTCCCATGGATCGCTATCTCAGCAACGGATCCGGAACCGACGAGAATTAAGTGTCACGGACATTTCGGAAGGCTTCGTGAAATTTCGCAATTCTGAGACGTAAAAAAGTGGAGAGTTCAAAGAGATACGCATACTACACTCGCAGAATTTATACGGAATGCAATATTTTTTTCTTTGATATTCGTTACTGAATTATACTAATTATCACGATATATTATTTTAAATAAAAATAAAAATTAATATTTTTTTACACAATATTATTAATTTATAAATATCGAGAATAATGAGCTTTAAAGAACAATTTGAATATATATGTTGACATTAAATAATTATTATATAATAAATATTTTTATTTTTTATTGCAATAATAATTTTGATTAATATTATCTGATATTAAGAAGTGATGATAGTAATAATTACATTTGTTTTGGAAATTATGATATTATTAACAGTTTATTTAAAATAATTCTATAAGACTTAATAAATTATATTTAGATACATAATTAGTTTTTACATCATCAGAAACACATATATCACGATTTAAGAATCTTTATAAGATTAGGAGGAAAGAAAAAGTGTTTACAATATCCTACAATTAATCTGCGTTGATCAATATTATATGAGCGTCATTCTTCTTCTTTTTTACACTTAATAATGAAACCGTTAACTTGTTTTTAAGCCAGTGATTGGTATATGTTTGATTGACTGGCTTGGTTAATTAAGGAAAAAAAAAATAGCCGAAATTAAAAAGTCAAATTTAAGAACGAAGAAAGATAGAGAGAAAGAGAGAGAGTTTCAGACCTTATTTATATTGAATTGTATGTATATTGTTTGTTTTGGAATGTTCCTTATTAATTTGTTGTAGGCGATTCTTGCTCGGTTTGTCGCCTCCTGATAAGCAAACCGGTAATTAATTGATACTTTCTACTGTGATACACATATCTCGACATTAAAGATCGACTTTAAAGATACCATGCAAAATGCATCTGACATATAGAGTCCACGAAAATAAATTACTTCCGTGCAAAATATTCCATGTCGACTAATATTAATCAAAAACATGTGTATCTCTCATTTATACCTATAAAATATTAATATTTTTATGGATATAAAATTTTAATATAAGTTTTTATATATAAAATGTTGTGAATACTATAAAAAACTTTAAATTTTTTAAAAATATTTTAATAAAGATATATTTTTTAGATAATATAATGTCATTAAAAAATTTTTTTTGTTCATGAAACTTATTGTCATTACAATTGGACATAATAATTGCTTGCACTGATATCATTATTTAATAGAATATAATTAAAATTTGTCGTTAAAATATTACTAAAGTCATAATAAACTTGCTATTGTATTAACCTGTCACGGAGATCACATCAATATAAATGTTAA